ATGCGGAGGTCACGGTGTCGCTCGGCGTTGGGTTAGGGACATCCCCACAGGCCTGACGGGCCCTAACCTGGGGGTGCTTAAAATGGATGCCCAGAGTCTCCTGTCTACTTCGCCTGGCCCTTGCCTTCAGTTTACATGGCTGGGTCTACCCCTGCCTTTCTCCAGGCCTTGGCTGAAGATCTCCACTAAGCCCCCCGGGATGTGTTGCAAGGCTAGCTGGCCTTGCAGCATCCGAGGTGGGCCTCGGCTTCTTCTGCACCTCTACTTCGCCTCCTGCTGCTGGCCGGGCGGATAAAAGCAGTGCTGCCCGTGGACATTGCCCGTAGACGAGCCGGGCTCGGCCCCGACGTCCCCGTCCCCAGGCGTGTGCAGATAGGGTCACGGCCAGCGGCCGGCCGCACGCGTGGAGGAGGGAAACAGAAGAGGCTTGTTCTCTGGACCGCAGGGCTCCGTGCGTGTTTGCCGAGCGGGAGAGCGTCCACAGCTAATATTTGGATGGGCCCAGAATGTGTCTCCCCCCGAAGCCCGCCCGGCCCCGGAGATGAGGGACCTCGCTGTGCCCACGGGGAGCCTGTTTTCCGCAGCATCTTGCTGAGGGAGCGGCTCTGGGAGGGAGGGGAGCCTGGGGCGTCTGAGCCCCGGGCATTTTGAAGTGCACATCTGCCCTGGGGCCCTCACGCCCACTCACCCCCACCCCTGCTGACACTGCCCTGCCCTGCCAAGGACAACACTGGCCGGTGGGAGTAAGGAATTTGCTGATCCAAGAGCCTGGGCCCCACAGGGCTTTCCCTGGTCGAGAAGGGGGGATAGGGGGACAGAGAGGAGGCCCTGGGCACTGCTCTGGGAGCCCCCGCAGCGGCGGGCAGAACACACCGAACCGTGGCCGGCGGAGACGCCCGCCCAGTGAAAACGCAGCGGACAGAAACGGGACCGAGCAGGGCGTCCTGATGGCCCCACGCGACACCCCGCAGGATGAGTCCCCCCGCCCTGCGACGGCACGGAGCAGGGAGGAGGGCAGGGGCGACACCCCCAGTTCGGCAGCGCGTGGGGCGCGTGTGAGTCTGCGTGACACCGGGTCGTGGGGTTCCTGGGGCTCGGTGACGAGATTCGCAGAGTCTCATGGACACTTTAGCGCTTCCGCTATCGACGGTCGTCACGTTTCAGTAAAACCCCATTTTTTCAGTTGTCCGTCTTCTCATTAGGTCGTAGAAGTCGTGTACGTCTTGATCAACGTTAAGACTGAACTCAGCGCAAAAAACATGTTATCCCATGTTCCGAGGTGGGAAAAAACCCCTTAATTTTGCAGAAAATATAAACACCCCAAATTAACCTACCGACTTTTGACGTGATCCCAGTGTGATTCCAGGTTGAAATTCCATCTGTGCGCGTCGGTGTGAGAGCATTTCAGCCAAAGTGTTAAGTGAAGGCTACGTTTCAATCACGTTCTAAAACCGTAGCCACGAAACAGATGGTGCTCACGTGGAACCTTCTAGAACAGTGGACTGGAGTAAGAAATTTCAAAACCAAATCAGCTGACTCAGTTGCTCTAATGGGTTGGCAGTAAATGGTGTGGGAATAACCGATTCATCGTTTGGAAGACAATTCACCCAAACTGCTGGTCACGTGCTAGACACACTCAGTGCTCAGCGCACACAGCAAACCCGTCTGTGACGCTGTTCACGGCCAGTGCTCTTCCATGCCAGGGGCGTCACGGGAGGGTAGGACAGTGTGTCCCCTGGGGACGGCCCGCCCGTCTGCCTGTCT